CTCCTGCAGGGAGGACGCGGACGGAGTGGACAGCGGTCCCGTCGCACAATCTCAGTCCCAGACCGAGGACAGCAACCGGCTGTCCACCAACGCTTCCAGCGCGATCAATGCCGTACACGAGGCCGCAGACCCTCACCCCGCCGTCTCCGAAGACTCCTCCACCCGAGACGGGAGCGGAGATCGCGTGGAGGTGGAGGTGAGGGAGGGGGAGGAGGAGGCGCGGCATCCAGTCGGGTTCAGGGAAAGTGAGGAGTTGGAGAAGGGTGGGGGGGTAGGCTGCAGGTCAGAACCGGAGGCGGCGTCCCCACCCCAGGTTACCCTGGAGATTCGGGAGCCCCCCGAGGGCAAGCAGGGGAAGGGCGTGGCCGACGGGCGGGACGCCGGCCCCGACCCACCCCACCCCCCTCACTTCCCTACGGAGGGGCCCTCTCCGATGGAGGTGGCCCCCCAAAGCGCGCCCGCGGCGGCCGATGAGGACTCCGGCGCCCCTCCGTGTGCCGCTCCTCCTCTCCCCCCGGACGCCCTGCCCCCTCCCTCCCACTCCGCCCATCCCCCCTCCCTTCCGGACCCTCCCAGCAGCCGCTTCCCGGCCGCCCACATCCAGAGGATCCAGGCGGCGGGGTTCTCAGCCGGGGAGGCCGCCGAGGCTCTGGAGCAGGTCCAGGGCCACGTGGAACTGGCGCTGCTCATGCTGCTGGCCCGCAAGATCACTGTGCCCACCTAGATTCCCACGCCCCACCCCCCTCTCTGTGTGGAACCCTGCTGGAGCCAGAGCCTCACCCCTCACCCCCCTGACCCGCCCCTCTTTAACTCCAGCTGTGATTCTGACCTTTGACCCCATAGAAGAAGGAATAAAAAATAAGTGCAACAGGCTGGTGATTTCTTTTTCTTTTTTTCTTTTTTTTTAAGCACCAGCTTGCTGGATGGTGTCAGGTGTGCTCTGGTTTGCATGCAGCGTATGGTTTGTAGGTTTGGCAGCAGGCAGGGGTTTTGTGGTGATGTGCTTTTTACTGGGGGTCAGGTATGTTTTTTGGGTTTCCCATAATTTCTTTTCTGGATTTATTTCATAATACTGCACCCCCTTTTTAAATCTGGTGCATATTAAGGTTTCCAAAAGGGAGGAATAAACTGATAAATGGCCTCTTTTGACCCTGGCCTTAGAGAGGAACTTGCAGACTGCAGAGTGGCATTTTGTGTAAATTATATCAATGAAAAGAAGACACTATGCTTGGACTAAAAGCTGTTTCAAATGGCACCCTGGGTTTTTTTTTTGCAGTACTCTCACTAGTTTACCTTACTGTTAATATGTAAGATGGATCTAACTGGATGTCAAAAATTGAATTTTCCCCCCAAAAAAATCAATAAGAATTTGAAAATGAGCCCAAGAAAGTGTTCAGTTGGGTGCACCGAGGACAGGAAGTCATTAGCCCTTAACAAACTGGTTTAAAGATGTGTTGTATGGCCAACCAAACACTTTCTCAGGGTTCCATTTTCCAACAGAAACCACCCTAGGTGCCTTTTACCCCAAATGAGAATGGAGGTGGTGGACCACCACTCCCACAGGCACTGAAACCTGCTCATGAGAGCACTGCTGTCTGTAACAGTTTGTAACTGGTTTATCTGGTTTTCCAGCTTAAAAAAAGGTCCATGAAGAACGGGTGCCAGCTTCCCTTTTGTAACCTGGTACCCCAAAAGACCCATAGAACCACCACTCCTATTCTGTAACAGAAAAAAACAATGGCCAGTAGAATGAGAAAGCCCTTTAGGCCTTGCAGTATTTTGGTAAGCCATCAAGGACCGCATTTTAAAGCAAGGGGGTAGGTTTTTGGACGTCATGTGAGGTATCATATCATGGCTTCTCAGTCCCAGCCTTGGGATTCCCGCGTTTTCTTCAGTGAACCGTAAGGGCAGTTGACCTCAAATGCACTCTTTTTATATATATAATGAATTACGTTTTGAGCTTTGTAAGAACTGAGCACAGTCATGTTAGGAGCAGGAGAGCTATGGGGTTAATTTAGGGGTTTCTTCTGGAGCAGTTGCCGAGAACTCTGGTGTGTCAAAAAAAACCCAGAAGAACACAGTGGAAATACCATAGCCAGGCCTGAGAAGCATTTATATAGAGGGGCTGCTTCCCTTAATTTTACTTTTTCTGCCAATAAATCCTGTGAACATGTGTGATCGTTCATCAGTTCTTTCTTTCATTCATTCATCCTTGTATCCATTCATTCAGTCAATCAGTCGGTCAGTAACTCTGTCGAATTGTTGTCAATCCTGAAGAACTTGAGTAAACCTCTGCGGTGAACTGCAGAGTGAACTGTATATTCATTTTTTTATTATTACTAATCTAGTCTTTATTTCCACTGTGTTCTTATTGTCTAAAATGGAACATTTATCATCGAGTCAGCTAGACATGGATAAGTCTCAACACAAGACAGCACTCAAAAATGGCAACATGAAATGGCGTGGAAAGAGCAGAAGAGGTGAAGTTGGACCTCCTTAACATATGTTGAGGAGGGAATTCTGGGAGCAGGGAGCCAGACAAATCCCCCCAACCCCCCTTGTTATTTTTCCTTTTAATTGGGTGTACAAAATTTCCAGGGACATGGGTAGCTCATGTTCAGCCAGGATTTTTACCTCAATTCAGGGTTTTTTTCTGCATTGTGTGTCCCTCTTTTTCAAGCTTTAGCCTTGAGCTGTTTCAGATCTCCTCCATCAGTCCAGCTATCTTATCCAGCTGTCAAAGTATTCGCTCAGTCATTCTGTCAGTTAGTCAAGTAGTTTATTTTGAATTTTTGATTTCTTTTTTTTTTTTTTTTAAGAGAACAACAAAAACTCGGTTGTGTACCAACAGCATTCAGGCCATTTTAATTATTCACTTTGATCTTGTATACATGATTAAAACATACAAATAAAAATTGGTTCTTTATATTTTACATGCCTGGTTTTGTGGTTTATGTGGTTTAAGTTGATTTTACACAAGCACAACTAGTATAGATATGTTTAGATGTATAACTAATTGGGGACTCCTTTGTTGTTTTTTTTTTCTGGAATGTTTTCTACACTTAGGGGATTGATTTGAAACAACAGAATTACTTAAGACGAAATATACATAGCACAAGGTTCAAGATTATACTAAGACAGTGAAAGGTCACCTATTGCAAAGTGTGCTCCTACTGAATTTGAATAGTTTGCTTTGAATGCTAAGAATGCATATTTATATTGTTACTTGGTGAAAACTGAATCCACCCATGGGATTGATGTCAAATTTGTTCCTACATAATTCAGAGCTGTTCCTAGTCAGTTGCAAAGCTAATTTACAGATCACCCACAATTCCACAGTACAGACAATGGGTGTGGTACCTGTATTTTTTTTCTATATATGAGAGAAAACATGTGACACAAATTACACATGAGGGCCAACTGCACTGTAAAATTGACAGCTCCAATCAGAGTTGAAGATGTGTGGCAAAATGTGGCATTTGAAAGACAAAATTTTGACTGTCTTGTGATGTTTTATTTAGCTTCAGACTTGTGCTCAATTCCAATCGATCTTCTTCAGCTCTAATCTGAGCAGAGCCTGAGATAAAACATTGTGAGACAGTCAAAATTTTTTCTTTCAAATGCCCCCTCTGAATAGGTACTGCTTTTTAAACCAGATGGCAGTGGGCATAGAGCTTCGTTTTCATTTCACATGGTGGAAAGGGTTGAACACTCATTCTCCCATGACCTCAAGAGCTGCAGGAAGGCAGTTGGGCTCTCTTGGGAATGCTAAAAGGAAAGCTGGTAGATTTTTTCACCAGATTTAACTGTGTAGTGCAGGCATAGGCAGTCCCTGTCTTGAAGTACAAGAGATGCTTTTGTTTTTACCTCCATCTGGACCCGCAGTACCATAACAGGATTAATTATTAGGTAGCATGAGTGCTTGTGACTACTAGATACTAAGTACACAAATGTAAAACTAAATAACACTTAATTAGCTTTCATGTGGGAGAAAGGTAGTATGTGAAGCCTCATACATATAGGCTTGTGACAAAATCCCTGTCTGTTTTATTGGTGATGTTGCAACAGATCTCCAATCCAGCATCTTCATTTTGGTTGTTTCCTGACAAAACCTTCCATGTGCTGTAGCAAAAGCGCTCTCATGAATAAAAGCCACATGCTCCAGGCAAGGCTCAAACTCACAACCTCAGCATAGCTCCACCTTGTACTGCTGTATAAATACCATGTGCTAACTGAGTGTGCCAGTGGAGCTTGATATACCTGAACTTCCTAATTATTAGCATGTTTTTATTGTCCTTTAAAAATATATGCACACATGCCTGGCTAACACAGACAGTAAGGGGACTTCATCTCCGCTGTGCTGTGATTTATGATCCTTCTGGCCATGCTTGAAAAGCAGGGCCTTTCAGCCACTGTCCTGAAGTGGCTCTCATCTTTCTATGTCAGCCTCCCAAACTCCCTTCAAAGGGTGTTCCACAAGGTTCAATCTTTGTCCCTTTGTTCCTCCTGTCACTCAATAGTTCACTGGGGCTCCATATAGGTTCTGATGAGCTCGTGTACCAGCGTTACATATATGATACACCAATACTTGTTTTTGTGTGTTTACCTTTGACATGTAGGTTACCAAAGGCAACACGGCAGCTTGCTGAAATCTTATTCTCAGTCTATTCATCAAAATAAGTTCAGCTTTTCTAATGTCAGGGGTCTCCTTTGTAGGCTTTAATCTCCCTCACCACCTCCTAATAACATAATTCTCCTCTCATACACATACAAGTACTTTTGACAACTCACTCACTTTTTATAAGAATATTACAGCACTTTTTCAGGGTAATGACCTTTGATGATCAGTTCAATCTGTAAAATGAGGAGAAGGATGCTATGGCTCAGTGGGTTGAATGATTCTGTTCTTGTGTTTTATTGCCAGTGTTGCCTTTCTCTTCTGTTGTGATTTCAGAAGTCTCCAAACACCACTGAGAAAACACTTTCATGTTAAAACAGCATGCTCTAGGTGAGGCTCAAACTCACAACCTCAGCACAGCTCCATCTTGTACTGTTGTATAAGTACCATGCACTAACCAATTGCACCACTGGAGCCTGCTATAACAGTAACCTCAATTTTAAAGATCCTCACCATGATCCTCACCAGTCTGTAAAACTGACTGTTGTGTTTCCATGATTAGAGCACACCTACCTGTTTGCCTGGAGGTGTTTCATCTCTGCCTCCCTGACTGCCTTCAGCAGGTATACCACAAGTCCCAGTCTTTGGTCCATTACAGTTCTCACCCTTTATCAGTCCAAATGAACCCCACAAAAGTTTTGGTTGGTTCTGTTACCATTATTACACAAATGATGTGCAAATGCTTCTTTTCTCCATTTTCTGACATGTATGTTGACACATGAATCTCACACCTTGCTGGAATCTCATTCTTCATGTCAAAATAATCTCAGCTTTAGGAATTGAGACATGGTGCATCTTCTCAGCGGTCCAGGACTTCATTACCTGCCAAGAGAACATAATTATGACACCACTTAAAAGTCATGCACAACTGTAATTGACAACTCCCTCACTGTCATTTTTCATACAATTCCATATTCTATAAAGACAGGCAGGATGTTCTGGCTCCAGCAGTGCCTCAGTGTGGTTTGTGACATCATGACTAGTCTCCGATTTGCACACATGTGTATTAAAACTCCATGCTCCAGGTGAGGCTCGAACTCACAACCTCGGCATATCTCCACTTTGTACTGCTGTATAAGTACCGTGCGCTAACCGATTGCGCCACTGGAGCTTGATATAAAGCATCCTTTATAATTTTAGTCATGGTTTTATCATCCTTTCCAAATATGAGCCACTGGAGCTGGTTAGTGAAAGGTGGACTTAAGGTATAAATTAGTAGAATTGTCAGTAATAACTGTAGAGACATTTTTACCCTTCCCAGATATGAGTGCACCAGCCTGGGTGCTCTACCTTCAGAGTGTCCACCCTACCCACCCCTCCATATCAGACAGTGCTTATCACATCGCCTGGCTGAGTGCCACCTCTGCCCACCAACTACCTTCAACAGGTACCCAAAAGAGTACAACAGTGTAATGGGCTGAAGTATAATCTTAAAGCCATTACATTTCTCTAGCTTAACCAGTACTTTAAACCGAATTTGAAAATGAATACTTTTGAATAAATAATTCAAACTAGGCTTCCAATTGGTAAACTGAGAGGACAAGTCATTTAAAAGAGAGCTCTAAGCAGTAAATTCAGCCCTTTAAATGAATATATTGGGGATTTTTAATTCTAGACAAAGGAAGTTAACATTTTCAAGGCAACTAAACAGATTGAGCCTGAATGGAGGATCAGTTTATTTACTTATTTGTGTAGACAGGGAGAACTTATTTTTGCTCAAGTGCCCTTGATTTTCCCAAAAAGGACTGTTGTTTTATTGACATGTTGAACACTGAATTTTTCCATTTTTATTTGTTTACTTGTACAGACCACATTCACTGTGTAGTGCACTGGTTTCCCATCAAAGACAGCCTGCATTGTGTGCATTTGGTAAGCAGCTGAACATTACATACTGTTAATTTGTTTTGTATGCTTTTAGTAAGATAGTTTTGATATATCTAAACTGCTTAACATGATTTTGATTTGATTTCATTACTACCAGCAGCTAGTTAGGTAATTACTGTTTTCAAACAAGTGAGCCCCCTCTAGTTTTGGTATGGACCGGTCTGGGTAGCAGATAAAGTTATCTTTAGGCTGGATTTGTTCTGGGTATTGCCTTGTGCGGGTTGGGTCAGGTTCAGATTTCAGTTTCAGTTCTGTGCAGACCTTTATTTTTAAAATGTAATTTGTGGGCACAAATTATTCATATGAGGGCTATAACCGACTAATTGGAGACAATATTTATCTAATTTGCAGTTCACAATAATTTAATTAAAGAGTTTTAAGAAGTCATTTGACAGTATGACTAAGAAGGGGGTGGTTTTATTCTGCTCTGTCGGGCTGTGTACCAAGGAAATCCCCAGTCTAACCCAGTCTCTTGTATACATCCTCTCTGCACAACTCTGAAAACACTTTTGGATGAAGAGAGCATTCTTCAGGTCAGGCATGAGCTAACAAACTCAGAATCCCTCCACTACTGGAAACACCACATGCTAACGAGCCACTGCAACTTTGCAAGAATCCAAAGATATAAGCTTAATTTACTTATTTCACATAAACTCTTATTGCCCTTTCCAAATATGCACACACAAGCGTTGCTAACAGAACTAGTAAGGCGTAAGACTTTATCCTGAGACTTCACTGAGATTTTGGATTCTTCTGTCCACCACCAATGAGCAGGAACTCCCATAGACTTCCATGACTTTGTCTTTTCAGAGAGCTTACCTGGTCTCCTGATTGGGTTCCATCTCTGCTCACTGACTGCACTCAGCAGGTATAGCACAAGGTCTTTCTCCTGTTACTCGTTGTTTTGGGTTTTGACATGATATTTTGAAGGTACTAATAATTAATACAAGGGCCACAATTAGTAATTTGCTAGTAACAATGTGTAAATTGAGGGTTCAGTCAATCTAATATTCTTTTTAATTCTGTGAATAAATCCTCTGTTTACTATTTTGAAAACATACTTGAGTGCACCAAGCTCCATATTGAGCCTTGAATCTACCAGGCCAGTATTGCAAATGTTGTGCAATAACCAGTTGCGCCATTGGAACTCATGTGTGTTCTCTTGTGTGGTAAGCTTGACATTATAGTTAGTAACACATTAGCCTGGACACGGTACTTTTTGATCCTGTTCTCCACCACTGATAAGCAGGCCATCTCAGGCCATCATTTTTCCATGTCAGAGAAACCTGGGTTCCTTCTCTGTCCGCTTAGTGCTTTCAACAGCTGCACCATACGGCTCAATTTGTTGCCATATACTTCTTTATCCTCTGTTTATCTATTTCCTCTCCTATCTAGTTAATATGAGGGGAGCAGCTTCATTTTGATACAAACTAATTCACAAACTTGGCATCCCCTCGTATGCGACTGAGAAAACACATCCATGCTAAAATAAACATCAGGCTCCAGGTGAAGCTTGAACTCACAACCTCAGCATCACTCCACCTTGTATTGTTATATAAACACCACATGCTAAGCAATTGCACCACAGGAGCATTATGTCAATGTGTTAGAATGAGCCCACAAACCTTACTAACACAGCTGTACCCTTTAATTATTAGTTAATATGAGGGTAACCATTCCATTTTGATGCTGTACATAACAGATGTTCAAATTAATTCACAAAGGTGGCATCCTCTCATCTTTTTACAAACTTGTGCATGACAGAAAACACATTAAAACTTTATGCTCCAGGTGAGGCTCGAACTCACAACCTCGGCATAGCTCCACCTTGTACTGCTGTATAAGTACCGCGCGCTAACCGATTGCGCCACTGGAGCTTGGTGCAGTGCTTTTGACTGAGTGTACAAATCTCACTACCACAGCTTGTAATGAGCACAAGTTCTTCAGGGACTATTTTACTATCATTTGAAATCCCTCTGTTCATACGTGGTAAGCATGGAGTCTCTAGTGCTAAACTAGACCTCTTCCTTCTATGTCTCTTCCTAGGTCTGTAGACTTGCTTCCCTCTCTTCTGCCTAACTGTTTTCAAGAAGTGTACCACAAGGATCAGTTTTTGGCCTGGCACACTTTTCCCCATTTACCAATTTGCTGGGGGCTCTCGTTGGCTATCATACCACTTTTGCACAGATGATATGTATATCTCTCCCTTTTCGTCTCTGACATGAAGATCTGAGCAGGGTACTGCAGGAAGCAGGATACTGCTCAGAGGATTGAAGGTTCTGTCCACCCAGTGTTGTTGTTCTCCAAACAAATGCCTTTCTGGCTCCCTGTCAAAATCCTCAGGCTGCCATGTAGGAGACACTATTAAAATTACATGCCCTGGGCGAGGCTTGAACTCAGAACTTTGGCATCACTTCTCTTTGTACTGCAGTATAAGGACCACATACTAAGCAGTTACCCCACAGGAGCTTGACAGCCTTTTGGGCCAATTATCAGCACATTACAATTAGCACATTACGTTTGGCTAACAGAGCCGGTAATTACAGCAACTTCATCTTGAGAGCCAGCTGTGCTGTGATGTCTGATCCCCCTGCCATTCACTGACATGGGTAGAGCATCTCAGGCAGCACCCTGAACTGGTTTTCTTCTTTTTGTGTTAAAGTGCAAGGCTCAGTCTTTATCCCATTACCAGTACTTGGCTCCCAAACAGCCTATTGGTTCCTGTACCACTTTCACATAGATGATACTAGTGTCTTTTGCTGATGTGCAGATGCTCACAAGGTAATGTTGGAAGTTGTGTTCTTCAGGCTAATGGCCTTTTTTGTTTCTTTACTAAATCATCTGTCTGCTGATTATGCAACACAATATCAGAGCAGCATGCTCTAGGTGAGGTTCAAACTCAGAACCTCAACATGGCTCCATGTTGTACGGCTGTGTAAGTACTGTGTGATAACCGAGTGCGCCACTGGAGCCTGCCAGGACTACAAAGCTACAATGGCATTGGAATGGCATTAGCAGTTGCATTGAATGACATTTGATGTTTTTTTTTACTGCCATTTTTCCCACAGTTGGGGGAAATAGACACTGTAGAGAAAACAGACAGCTTGAGATGAGACTTAAATTCATAGCCTCTGTATGCTACTGCAACTTAAACGAGTCACAGGAGCTTTAGGAAGACCTCCATTGTTCTCACACCTTCCAAACACCTTCAAAGTGAGCACAGCTTTATATTAATCCAGTTAGAAGCCACTCTAGCATTTCCTTTTCACACTGTTCAAAAATGCAAGAAGGTTGAGTGACAGATTTGTCACTCAGGAAAACAGTCATGTGTACAAATTTGAGTGATCCATGAAAGAAACATTCAAATAACTTAAATTGACAAAAGGGTCAGATCACTAGTCTACCTGTGTGTTACAATATTGTGGATGTCCACTCAAAAGCATAACTGACAAAAAGGAACAAGGTTTTCCCAATCAGAGGAGGACATTCTTAGCAGCAATGACATTTTTCAACAGGAAGGAAATATTTCTCCAGCATACCTTTTGAGAGTCTTTTTTCTAAAGCTGCAATATACTTCCTGTACTTGCTATCCTGAAAAGACTCTCTGGAAATCTGGCTGGGCCATATGCTGATGACCACAGCTTTTCACCTACATCTGTCTTTTGTCTCATAGAGGACCATTCATTAATGACGTTAGAAGGGTATTAGATGGGAGAACTCCGTTTTTATCAGTGATAGAAGAGGGACACCATGGCGTATCTAGATTGTAAAAAGCATCCTATTCGTAAATACAAACAGTCCCTTCTGATTATGATGTCTGTGTGCTGGTGTGAAAATGTAGTCACTCATATTACAGGGACATGCCTTCAATGAGGCTAGAACTCACAACTGTAATGTCGCACCATGTTGCACAACATTTCCATTTCCATGTACTACACTAACTGATTCCTCCACAGGAAGTCAGTAATGGGGTTACACAACATAGGGAATTAGCTTATGGCAAGTCTCTCTGTCTCTCTCTCTTTCACTATATATATATATATATATATATATATATATATATATATATACACACACACACACACACACACACACACACACACACACACACACACACACACACACAATGTATATGTGATGCCGGTACGATGATTGCATGTAAGAGTAATGTTATTCATTCATCCATCTGCATATTTACAGCAGTACGTCAGGTTAAGCACGTTACTACTACTACTACTGCACTTCGGAATTAAACCTATTTCCTTTTGGTTGCAAACTCCTTAACTATTTTGCCACACTTAATAATCTATGACAAAAACACGAATGGGAATGCTATTTTACAAAAGAATATGATACAGTAAAAGGTTATTATTATTATTATTATTATTATTATTATTATTATTATTATTATTATTAATCACTAAACTTGTTCACTGATCTGAATTACTCAAGGGGGCAGCCGTTTTGTTTTGTGATGACATCACTTCCGTTGTTATGAGGAGTTTGTTGAGTACCAGTATATCAGTTCTGACACCTGTAAGAATAACGGAACATGCTGTACATTGGAGTACCTTTGTGCACAATGGACTAGCTGCCGTTCGCCAGACACGGATCGTGGTTCGTTATTTGATTCTGACAAATTATTAATAGATTGACTAGTGGAAAAGAATTCTAGAGAGCGATATTGACCTCGGCGGCAAGGTTGGAATATACAGCTAGCTCGCAGCTGGCAAGCTCGTCTTTCTTTCGTCTCTTGCAAACAGACAGCCCAGAAGCGTTTGGATATTTCTTGCTAGCTTGTCTAGCAATATCCTCATTCGGAATGCTGGGGAAACTGGTGCTTCACTATTTGTATCAATAACAAAATGACAATGCAGTTTATAGTAACATTGCACCACATATACGCGCTGCGGCTTCAATGTTAGCTGGCTGCCTGCAATCTCCACATGAGTGGGGGCAGGTAGCTAGCATTGTGGGAGTGTAGCTCCAGCAAGCAAGCCAGCCAGCAACCAACGTTAGCGCGCTAGTAGCCTGACACTTAAAGAGTGTCGATTGTTACAAGCTAGATAGCTAGCATAATTATAAAAATGGGATTTTTCTAGATTGTCATGTTATAGTTAGCTAGACATTCCATCACAACTTCTAGTCTAGCCAGCACAGCTAACTTAAAGATGTCATTCGGTTTAGGTGACATAGCTATTTCCAAAACCCTCTCACATTAGTTAACTAGTTAGCTACCTAGCTAACCTTATTGTAAAATGTAAACAAATGGCGATAATTTAATGTAAAGTCAGCTAATTCAAGTAGCGACTTTATCTTCAGCATTTAGATTTTTAGCCATTCTGTACGATCGCTGGCCTGTCTGCGTTGTTATTGCGAGCGATTAAGATATCAACTGCGAGATAGCGAAACTAACTTGGTGAGTTTCGCACACCAATCACACTGCGTCGGGAACAGCTGACGGGCATAGGTCTTCGAGGGGAATCCGAGTGATGGATCAGCTCAAAGTCAAAGACCGAATTCTGGAAAACCTGTCACTATCTGTGAAGAAGGTAAGTCTCAAAATTCTCACGCAAAAGGGAACAGATACCAGAGATTTTTGGAGGGGCCTATTCGCAAAAGAGGTGGAAAAAGAAAAACCCATTGCATCTGTCAGTGTACCCATACCCTTGCTAACGATAGCTTGCTAGCTGTTTGCTCTTACAGAAGTGCTCTACTTAGCCAGTGATTGTTTGCTTTTGTCCCCCACCTTACATTCGATAATGACGTCCTGTGTACAAGTTTCTCTGTTTCTACAGCACAAAGAAGTGCTGACTGAAATGGTAGCCAATGGCAGATAAAGATGCTAACCTTGCTAATTCCTCCCACAACGTAAGCAACACATTTGTAGCTACTTGGCTATGTGAGTTGGCTAGCTATGTTTGTTTCGATCTTAACGCATATTTCGGTTTTCATCGGATATGAGAAAGTAAAAGTGATGGTTTCGATCAGATTCATTGTGTTAGGGATGTGGTTAAGACTTCACTTGCAAAGTTGCTTCTTTTCCTTGTCTGGCATTCTCACCCTGTCTCCATCCGTCTCTGTCTGCTATTTCCTCTTAGTTATAATTATTTTGCTCGTGACAGCTCCATATGCCCCCATTCTATTTGACCTCTTCGATTTCAAAGGATGTCTCGTCACCTGAAAGAAACTTAGATTATGTCATCATTTCATGCTTTGAACTGGTGGAGCTTACCAAACTTGCACTATCGAAAATGCAGTACACAATAGAACAGAAAATTATGACAGAGTGCAGACGTTATGTTGAAAGAGCTGTGTTGAAATAAAACAGTAAAGCATTTTCGCATTTTGTCCTGTTTGTAGACAGACACCGTGTGTGCGATTGGATGCGCACTGCGAATGCCACTGTTATCTTTTCCGTTGTTATTTCCCAGGAGTCTCTCGACCGCCTTTTCCCGAGTGAATAATTTTCCATTTTTCCCTAGCTAGCCTTGATTTTGTGATGTTTTACTTTAGGAAAATGTTCTATGCTTTATACGTACAGCGCATTGCGATAAACTCGGTTGTAAAATGCGCAATAACAAGTAAATTT